TAGTTTTATATTAAATAGTCACTATTGTGTGATTTTATGCATCATAACTGACTCATGAACCGACCTATCAAACGTGTTGGGGTGAATCAATGAAGATATTATTTAACAAAATTAGTTAGTACTAATCACATTAATAATAGTAGTTGGAATCCTCAATTTTAAAAAAATATTTGAAGTGATATGTTTTTATCATGTTTAGGAAACTGGTACATTCTTTAATTAAAAAAAAAAATCAATTTTAAACAGAAGACCAACATAATCGGTTAAAAAAAAAGAAGTCAAATATATTGCTAAAATAAAAATATATTTTCTAAATGAAAAAGAACTTGAATTTATCCAATATGGAAGGAATCTCATTCAAAACATATTGAACTCATCCAAAACATACTGAATTTCGGAATGAAAAAAATTCAAACTTTCGAAAAAATTTCAAACAAAATATTAGAGGGAAAAAAGTGATTTGAGCGGTAAAATGAAATAATTTTTCAAACATTTTTTCTTCTCTCTATTATACAGTAATAGATTTTCCATGAGCAATTCTTTAATTAATATAACCTTGTATAAAAATATATATGCACTTCTTTCTATCACAAACGCAACCCACCGGAAATTATTCTTTTCTTAACCTAGAAAATCCTTGTTTGAGACGCGAATGTTTATAATTTAACTTCAACTCATAATTGGAGAATCACAAAAGTTATTCGTTCTCAATTTAACTTCAAGTCATAATTGGAATATATTTATGGTAAAGTTAGGGTGAGCAACGATGTAGTCGGGTGAAAAACAAATCAAACCGCAAAAAGCCAACCGAACTAATCAAAAAATAATCGAACCGCCCTGCAATTTAAAGAAAAAAAAAAGTAAACCGAAAACGAACAATTTTTTTTACATTGAAATTACCAAACCAAGCATTTAAATGCACAGTTCGGCTCGATTTTCAATATTATGACACTTTTTCTATACAATTTATTAATTTAGTGCGGCCAACAAAATCAAAAACTGAATTACTTATAAAAAACTATAACTGCTCGCACTACAATATAGTAAAACAGAACCGCAACTTTTTTTTTTTATATTAAAAAAGGGTACCAAATTGAACCAAATTTTTTATATTAAAAGTCGTTTTGACTTTATTTTTTGATTTCGACTCAGTTTTGCTCACACAAAAGTTAAATATTATATTTTTTATTACAACATATTAACTAATAATCATACGTTATTTTTCCCAAGTAGCACTCTGTTTTCCCAAAAGTATTAAATTTTTTCATTAATCATATATTAATATATTGTTTTTGTTCAAAATAATGCATCAGCTTATTTAGTCAAAAAGTATGCCTGCCTAGAGCGGTTAAGTAAAACGAACTGCCACTACAAAAAAAATGTCATATTCCAATGAAAAATCCTACGATAATATATTCAACGAAAATTCCAACGTATATTCTAATGGTATAGCTTCCGTTGGAATCAATTATAATGAAAATATTCCGTTGGAATGAATTTTTCATTGAAATTTTAGATAGAATTTGATGATTCCAACGGCTATTTTTCCAACGGTCTTTTACCGTAAGAATTTCCGTTGGACTATGCAATTTCCGTTGAAATTTTTATTTCCACCTCCGTTGGAAAATCTACCGTTGGAATCTTCAAAATCCGACGGAAATTCCAATGGAGAACTCATTCCAACGGAATATTTTTGTTGGAATTTCCGTTGGAATTCCATTCAAATATATTTGTATTAGAACTTTCCGTTAGACTTTGATCATTTTGTTGTAGTGTGCTCGTAAGCTTGGTTCAACTTTTTATGCTTGGTAAATTGGAGTTTTTTCGTCTGGTTAGTGAATAGTTTGTTCAAAATGAATATGTTAAGGTTATAAACTTATACAACCAGATGTGATCTCTTGTTCAATGCTAAAATATGTTAATATTCTCGAAAATGAGTACTTGCTATCTCACTTTCTGGAATTCCAGCTTTTTTTATGCCTCGGCATCTCATCCTATTTTAATTGCTAGATGAGGTGGTTCTATAGTTTCACAAGTCATCAAACATATGGTATCGATTTATTGATAACTGCAATTTGCAATATCTTAATGTATTTGAGTGTTTTGGAAGAGATTCTCTTACAGGCATAAAACTATATTGAGTAGGGGTTGAAAGTGCGGTACTACCAGGTAAAGCGCACCATAAGAGGGTGAGTCTAAATGCACCTTAGTGAGATTCCTTCCCAAAATCAATTGGTGATGAGAGAAGTAGCACACTAGACTTATATACTATACTAGGATCATTTTTTCTATAGAATTAATGTGGGACAACTCACAATTGATACTCCAACATTTAACAATATCAAAACTTTTCATTCTCCAATGTACAATGTGATCACACAAATGTTGGGATAATTTGGACATAATTAATGTCTACAATGTAGAGAGGAATGTGGTTCATCTACAATCTCTTCCACACTCTAGCTAGGCAATGAAGAGGAGTGAGAGAATAATTCTTACAAATTCCAAACAATTATTTTATTAATTTTCTTACTATATATTATAAAATTTTACATTTGTAAGTAGATAGAATTGTAGTTAGACTACATTGTGCATTAGAGATAATTTTTTAATTTCATAGTTATAAACTTAACATTTTTCCTATATGGTTCACAATTCATTTGATTTATTAACATTTGTCAAAATTTATTCTATAACAACGTTAGAACATTGGAGATGCTCTTACTCTTGGAAAATTAAAGTAGATCTCTTAAATCTTAATCATTCTACTACACATGCTAAATATATCAGGTTATTCTAGATGTTATATTAAAGAAAAATAAAATAAAACTACATGGTATAATTAAGTTGCGTATACACACCTTAATATTGCACAAAGACACAATTAGAGCACAATTATAAACCTATATTATAATTTATCAATGATCAGAAATTGCAATTAGACAAAAAAGGGGAAAAAAAGGTCCTGTATATAAAGTTCTATCAGATATTTAGCCTTTCTATTTTCTAATACACATAAATCAATTTTACTTTAAAATGTTCCTACAATCGGAGTTAGTTGAGGCAATTCTCAATTACCACAAACATCATCCATTTTTGGCCTTTGCTACATACATGATAAATCCAGAAATGAGCATGAGACAAAGACTTCCATTTTCCTTTAATTTCTCCCATTTTTCCATTAAAAAAATCATTATCAATAATAGAAATATAATATAAATAATGAAACATTTTTCAGAAATAACTAAGCAGGTCAGTCTGAAACATCATAATTAACATTTCCCCAAATATGCATACATTTCTCTTTCTGCTTTCAACTTCTAACATTTGGTTTATATATATTTTCTCAATACAAGTAAGTCAGGAACGCTAGTTACACAATGAAAATGAAATCTTGAGCATTACGCGAATGACTATGTGACATCCCAGGATTCCACGTTCATAACCTAATAACCTATGATTCACACTTGTAATATGGATATCATGTTTATCCATTTTGTATGCGTACATATATAAAAAATAGAAAAAATTATAAAATATATCCAAATGCAATTTTATTCAGTAGTTTTTGTGATTGAAAAAATATCCACAAAATAATAAAAATGAAGATCAATATGTCCAATAATGAGAAAATCATACAAAAATCCACTTTCTAATTATAAAAAGTTGCAAAACATGTTTACTAACTCACATAATTAGATTGAAGTTTTATGATTTGATTAATTAGTCTATATTTTGTGCATCTCCAAAAATTACTGGATAACTTGCAATTTTTCCTAGATATATGCTTGTCAATATTTTTTGGCATAAGCGCAGGTAACTTTTAATTGTATATAAACAAGCATTTGGGATATATATATATATATATATATATATATCTAATTTTTTATTTGATTAGCAATAGTAATTAGGAATCTCTTCAATTTGATATATCATTTTATTAATCTGCTCAATAATGTATTTATTTCTTGTGTTTTGGTTGACTGGATGTCTGACTGAGAAAGTTGTAGACAATAGACGCAGTAATGTTTCAACCATCAAATTATATACATATTTATATAGGTGTGTGTTGATCAGATAATTTACATGTGGAGACACAAAAGTAAAAAAAAAAACCTTTAAAATGGAGGTTATAAGGAAAAAGAAATTCCTAAAATTCTCTTATCAATATGAAACTTTAGCATATATTATATCAGATCAACAAATTGCACCATATTATTTTCGAATGAGTACACGAAAATGTTTACAACGGAGGTTCACGGGCTCGCAAAATCTGACTCAAATATCTGGCCAATTACCACGAGCCACGTTTCTTTTGAATGCGACATCATGATTAATGGTAAATAGCACTATTAGATTCAACAAGTACTAGAATTAATCTCGAGATTGGATCAGTAAATTTAGCAAGTGTAATAGAATTCATCTCGTCATTAGCCAGATTGGATCAGCAATAAAATTATGTTGGTAGTTATAGTAACTTAAGTGTGTTTGCTTTGTTTCGTTTAAATATAATTTGTGAACCATTATTGCAATGTCGTACATTAATCAAAAGAAAAATACTTGATAATTGAAACAAATTCAGACTTATTAAACTAGTATATATTTTGAACAACACATGACTTTCTATGCAACCATTCATAAATTTTGAGTCCTAACTTTACTAGTTGTAGATAATATTTATAAATGAATGCAAAAAATTATACAAAATACAATCAATATTTTTATGAACTAATTTGACCCAGATTCTCCGAATAAGAATCAGTGCCATTTTGTAACACTTAAAAGAAAACATATATAAAAAAATAGTACTATTAAATATATTATAAATGAGGCTAGGCAGGATCAATTAATTTAACAGTCAACTTTAGGCAAAACCCACGCTGGGTTACCTTATTGCTCCTACCCTCACTCACATCACAGCCGATTCAAGAGCCGCTGCCTAATTAATTAAAGTAAAAAATAAATAAATAAGTAAACGTCGCAGACGCAGTATGTGTAAATAACTCTCTCTCTCTCTCTCTCTCTCAAAATTATTCTTCCTGAGATGTTGGAGAGAAGAACTTTTCTTGAGCTTTTCTCCTGCCTTCATTCTCTCCAACTATTTTTCTCTGATTGATTATTTAACTTATTTCTGCCGCCTTCTGCTAGAGAAAGAAAAGGGGGGAATTTCCGAAAATGTTCGAGAAATTCGATGGTAGGGATGATGAGTTTGCCAAGCTTCTCAGGAGGATTAATCCGCCCAGGTGAGCGTTTTTCGCCTCTTCTATTTTCCTTTTTTTTTTTTATGATTGATTGTTAACTGCTAGTTTTGACTATTTATGACTGTGATTTTTGTTGATTATGTTGATCGGAACAAGTGTTCGAGTTTCATGAACTCTGTTGCTGTTCCCTGGTGAATTTTGATTGTTGTTTTCAGTTTTACGAAGAACAGCTTATGAAAGATCTGTTTGATTGAAATTTTGTAGTTACTTGTGGTTGAAGATATTTTTTGGTTCCTATTTCTTGACATATTTGTCTTATAAATTTTATCATCAATTTTTCTTTGGCTGCCACTTTGTGGGAATTGTTCTAGAACTCATCTAATTGCTTCTTGTGCAGGGTTGTAATTGACAACGACTCTTGTGAGGACGCAACTGTGATACAGGTATGCCTCTAGCCCGTTTTAGCTTAGTCTTACTTTGCCAGGATTAGTTAGGTTCTTGTGGTTATAAGATGTCATTTGTCTAAATTGTATTGTTAAAAGTATTTTACCTTTGTGCGTGTAGGTTGACAGTGTCAATAAGCATGGAATTCTCCTTCAAGTGGTCCAAGTTCTGACGGACCTGAACCTTGTAATTAAGAAAGCTTACATTTCGTCTGATGGTGGATGGTTCATGGATGGTATGATATTGCTGTCACAAGAAAAAAAAAATGATATTGCAAGTTTGGGCACTTGGGGTGGGGAACAGTGGTGCTTATTGTGTTAATTTAACTTTGTGTGTGTGTGTGTGTGCAGTGTTCAATGTTATTGACCGGGATGGAGAAAAAGTTAGAGATCAAGAGCTCATCAACTATATTGAAAAGGTACAATGTGAATCATAATCTGTTGGTTTTCTTGATTGATTTGTTTATTTATGATCCACTGTGCAAATTGTCTTCTAATATTATTGCTACACTTTTTGTCTCATGAACTGAAATTTTAACTCCTTTAATGTCCTCGTCCTCATGGCAGAGACTTGAAAGTGATGAAGATTTGGAATTGGTACCTCCTTTAAATGGAATGGTTGGATTAATGCCTTCTGAGGAGCATACCTGTATTGAACTGACGGGAACAGACAGGCCCGGTTTATTATCTGAGGTGTGTGCAGTCCTTGCAGATCTCCACTGTAATGTGGTAAATGCTGAGATATGGACCCATAACACAAGGGCTGCTGCCGTTGTTTACGTGACCGATGATAAAATGGGTTGTGCAATTGAGGACCCGAAACGGCTTGCCACTATAAAGAAGCTTCTTAGAAATGTCCTCAAAGGAAACAACGATCTGAATACGGCCAAAATGACGCTTTCACCTCCTGGGGTCACACACAGGGAAAGAAGGTTGCACCAGATAATGTTTGCCGATAGGGACTATGAAAAGATGGCTGGGTCAGAGGTAGGTGAAGTTTGTGCCAAGAGTTCAAGACCTCATGTGATTGTGGCAGATTGTGTGGAAAAAGATTATACAGTTATAACGTTGAGATCGAAAGATCGGCCCAAATTGTTATTTGATACGGTCTGCACTCTGACTGACATGCAATATGTTGTGTATCATGGGGTGGTCCACACTGGGAGGACAGAAGCTTATCAGGTAGAAATTTTCTCATTTTGAATGAATCTCGATATTAACTACTTTGTTATATATATATATATATATATTTTTGGAGTTGATTGCAAAAATTATCCTACAGTTTGAGGTGTAATTTGTAATTCTTACAAATTACAAAATTATTAAAGAATTCAGGTGTAATAACTCTTGGTTGGTTCTTATTATTTCACCTGTTAGATTTATTATTGCATATTGTAGAGACTAATATCCGACTGACAATATAAATGTCTCTTACTATCTATTGGACAATGTAGGAATACTATATCCGCCATATGGATGGGGTTCCTATCAGCTCGGAAGCTGAACGAGAACGTGTGATGCAGTGTCTTGAAGCAGCCATAGAAAGACGAGCCTCCGAGGTACTAAGGTCTAGTTTCTGTAAAATGTTTGTCTTAATTTAACCCAATGGCTGTTTGGTAGATATCATCACAATAGTAAAAAAGAGAAGGATAGCCGAAAAGTGTGGTGATGGTTATATTATGATTGTGAACTTCAGGGTCTGGAATTGGAGCTATGTGCAGAGGACAGGGTGGGACTATTGTCGGACATCACTAGGATATTTAGGGAAAACAGCTTGTGCATCAAAAGAGCCGAAATCTCGACAGAGGGCGGGCAAGCAAGGGATACTTTTCATGTGACGGATGTAACTGGCAGCCCAGTTGACCCCAAGACAGTTGACTCGATTTGCAGACAGATTGGACATGGTGCTTTGCAAGTTAAGTGGAACTCAACAAATTCTCCCTCCAAACCCCAGCAGGACAAAACGATTAGCTTCCTTTTTGGAAGCTTATTTAAGACTAGAGCTTTTTCGTATTTCTAGACTTGATAGATTTGAAATTGTCCTGCCAGAAAAGAGATGAGAATGTGTGGATAGGATTAAATTTAAGACCGATGTAAATAGACTTTGTTTTCTTTCCGTTACGTCTCTCCCATTAGTAGCAGAAACCACCCCATTCTGTAAATGCGTTGCAACGGTTTAGCTCGTGTACAGCAATATGATTTGTAAAGAGAGTAGAAAACTGCGTACTTGTAGATTTTGTAAATACTGAAGCGTAAGGTGTGTATAGAATCATAGATAAGTGGTTTCATATGCCATGTGTTAATATGAAATACTGCACAGTTTAATATTATCATATCCATGGATGTTAGTTACTCCTTAATTCATCACTGCTAAAAATATTACTTCAAACCGTTGATTAATAATAATATAGCTTATGTTATCAAGAAGCAGTATTTACTAGTTTAACCAAACAAGATAATTAAGCTGGTATGATATACTCAAACTTTACACATACAATCACTATACACATTAATCTTTCCCCTGCACTTTTTCCATGAAATGAAACCCTCCAAGCCTTTCAAAAGTAGTCGCTACCAAAAGACGAAAAAAAAATGAAAAAGATCACACTTGTTTGCAGAGAGGAAGGGTCGGCCCATCTCCCGCCTCCTTCCCACTCGACAACCTGCTCTGCTGTTGAACCACAAGTATCTTTGAACCACAAGTATTGGAGCCCGACAGTGCAAACATGCCCCCAACCGCCCCTAGCTCTGAGTCCTCCTCCCATGCCGAAATCCCCATCAAGAGTGGGGACCCCGTGTCGTGGGTCCGCCCCACTATGATGATGTCATAATGATCCTCTATGGACTGGATCACCCCAACCGTCCCCGTCCCATCACTCACCACCTCCTCGAAATACGCCACCCGCCTGTTCCCCGCCATCTGGCTCCTAAACTCATTCAACACGTCGTTATCCAACTTCAACTCGTCAGCAGTCTTACTCTCCGCCAGGACACGAACGACCGCCACCTCGACTCCTGGATTTCCCGCCATCCTCGCCCCTATGGCCAGCGCTTCCCGGTCGTCCGGCCCCCCGATGAAAAACACCGCCACACGGCACACAACGCACTCTCTCTTAACGGAGTCCACCTGTGAAATCAGAGCCGGTGCTCGGTCGACCACAACAGCCACGGTGCAAGGCGCGAGTTCGAGTAGGTTTTCGTTGACAAGCTTTATTCCGGACTCGGAGGAGTCGCGGATGACACCTGGCGTGGCGAGGTTCTGGTGGTAGGGAGTGATGATGAGGGAGGCTCGTCGGTTGGCAGCCATCTCACGAACCTCGTCGTGCATGGTGGAGTAGGAGGATATGGCGGTGAAAGGGTGGAGGTTGACGACCCGATCGTGCCTCTCCTTGAAGTTGTTGAAGGCGTTGACGATGCTCTTGGAGGCGCTGGCTTTGCGAGAGCTGGCCTTGTTGAGCTTGTGGGGGATGAGGATGGGGTGGGCGCGGCCTGCCATCTCGATGAGGTGGACGAGGCAGATGTGGATCGGGGAGCGTTTGTTGGGGTGGAGGGCCTCGATGAGGTGGATGGTGGTGGGGACGTGCTGCTGGTCGTGCACACAGGCCACGAGGCGAAGGTCCGAGTCGGGGCGAAGGTCCATCACCGTTTTCGTCTTGTGGAAGGCGTGGCGTCTGAGGGGGTCGTGGAGTCGCCGGATTATGGGCGTGACGGTTGCCGTCACGGCTATCATGGAGACGCAGAGCACCACAAACGCGTCCTCCTCAACCACTTTGTGCTGCTTCATCATCTTGAACAAGCCCAGGTCCATCACGCCCTGCACATTCATCACCAGCCCCACCTGGACGGCCTCTCTCTGCCCGACTCCATTGCACACGGAAGCAATCACGGCGCCCAGGAACTTGCCGGCACACGCCAGCAGTATGACCAACTGCACTATCGCGTAGCGGTCGGGCCCCACCGAGAAAGCGTCGGTCACGAGCCCGTTCTTCACAAAGTAGAGCGGCATCAACAGCCACGACGTGATGAGCTCCAGCTTCTCCACCATGGCCGACCCGAGTGGCGGGCCGGCGGGTAGGGCGACGCCGTACATCATGGGCCCGAAGAAGATGTGAAGCCCGGCGGCCTTGCTGATGAAGCCCGAGAGGAGGAAGCCGACGAAGAGCATCAAGACGAAGCCCTGCTTGAGGGGCTCGCCGTCCGGGTTGCGCCTGAGGCCCCAGTGGACGGCGGGCCGCACGATGAGGAAGACGGCGGCCGCGATGGCCAGGCCAGCCACGACTGACTCCAGGCGGGCGGAGACCTCGAAAGGGTTCTGCTGGGTAAGGACGAAGGTGGTGATTACACAGAAGCCAAAGAGGTTGCTGATGAGGGAGGCGGAGAGGGCCATGCGCCCAAACTCCGAGTTAACCATGCGCAGTTCGGTGAGGTAGTGGGCTATGACGGGGAAGCCGAGGACGGAAGACGAGAGGGCTACAATGGGGAGGGAGTCGGAGATAGCAGCCGCGTGAGGCAGCTTGCTGACGGAGAAGGCGCCCGCCAAGCTGAGGACAATGGCAAAGGCAACAGTGGAAATCCCGATGCATATGTCCTTCTTGTGGATGCGTTTCAGGACCCAAGCGTCGATCTGGACACCGATGAGGAAGAAATAGGTCATGCCCCCGAAGATGGCAAGGGCGTCCAGGACGATGAACCCCTTCAAGGGGAAGATGAGGGCCGTGAAAGGGGCCGCCCGCCCCAGGAAGGATGGCCCTAATACCAAACCACCCTAAAAGTTAAAACCACAAATATTGTGAAAATTAATTCAGAGTAACACAAACATGAAAACAAATTCATTCAAACATTTTTTTCATTTTCGACGGATAAAGGAAAAAGAATCCGAACCACAACATATCACCAACATTAAAAGTTTTTGGCAATAAAAAACGCAGGGTGTTACCAGTATCTGTATGACCATGGAGGGCTGGCCGAGGGGCTTGAGGAAATAGGAAGTGAATAGGATGACGAGGGAGGAGAGGGAGAGCTGGGCCAGGAGACGAGGAAACGAATAATCAAAAGGGTCGGAACCAAGGAACATGCCTCTGGAGTTGACCATCAACAGATTCAGGCAAATGGTGGTGTTATCAAGCGACGGCTCGTAGATGGCGGCGAACGAGGCCACGTCATGAGGTTCCATCAGCAGCGACCCCATTTTGATTGTTATATGTAAATGGTGCGGATCACACAATACGAATCCTCGGCTTCAATGGAGAAGCCAAGGAATGTGATCGCACACAGTTTCAAACTTTGGAAGAAAACCCTTTGGGCGTGGGTTGGGGAAGTAATGGGGGAAAAGGGGATGAAGCTCAGAAATCTATACTTATATTAAAGGGATACTATTTACTAAATGTAGTATGTAGAATAGTCAACCCTAATTAATGATTTGCTATTTTTATCAATCTAATTAATGCATCTAATATTTTTGGTATGCAAATCAAATTAGCATTTAATTAGTTCCTAAAATATTGGGTATGCAATATTAATTTAGGAATATCTATGTAGTTCCTAAAATGTAGGTATGCAATACGTAAATGAAGATTTTTTTTTTTTTTTTAAATATAAAATATTGCAACACTTACAACTATTCCAGTTATTTTTTTATTTTATTTTACATATAAAATTTAATCAATATTTAATGCATCCTACAAAATTGGATTTAGTTTAATTCTCCATACAATTGGTTGTAACTTTTTCAGTTGTACATTTTTTATTTATTTATTTTACACTTTTAAATTAATGAAGCTCTCCGAAAATACCAAATCAAATGATTTATGAAATTTTTTTTTTTTACAATTTTAAATCTATATACCCAGCTTAAAAAACTCATCGCATGGACGAGTTTAAGAAAATTTCATAACCCAGCTTATAAAATTCCATCTCCACGAGTAAAAAAAATCACATCCCTCATCTATCGTAACAACTTTAAACGTAAATAAATAAAAGTCTAATTACTACTATAAATCCATTATCTATATAGATTTTTTAAAAATGTAAATTTCACCTGTCTCATTACTAATATTTTAGATACTTTTAAATATTATTTGTATAATTTTTTTTTACACGTTTGCTCTCTCTCTCTATATATATACATATATGAAGGTTAAATGAAGAATTTTTAGACATATTTTCCTTACGGGTAGTTTAGAAAAATTTAGGTAGCTTCAAACATTATTTGTGAATAATATAGAATATTTTAGATGCTTTTATAGATGTTATAAAATAATTTAAGTATTTTTAAATATTTTAAGTATTTTTAATATTTATATATCACACTTAAAAAGAATATTTTGCCAAAAAAAAAAACATTAAATACACATTGTAAATGTTAATAGAAACAGTTTTCAGTATTCATCTTTGATTTTGTCAAAACAAATCTTATAAAATCGGTGAAGTCAAAATTTGTACGTAAAGTCTATCTATAATAAAAAAAGGTAGATTCAAAATTCTTTATCTAATTTCTTTTTTTCCTTATCTAATTCATTCTTATTATCTAATTGTATAGAAATCTGTTCTGATTTTGTGTAACCCTGTAATTGTATTTGTATCATATCCGATAAAATAGGTTTAACAAAAAAAATCCCATAACATTCTTTATTTATTATCTAATTGTATGGAAATCTGTTCTGATTTTATATTACGTACTACAAATTGTGCACCCGTGTTCAGGAGCTACTTAACCGGCAAGCTATGTGGAAATAACTCATTTAGTGCTTCTGTCCCGTGCATACGGTATGTATTTGTATTACACATACTAGAAAATTGTGCACCCCGTGCATCGCACGGACTCTGTACTAATAAATGACCTTAAAATTATGCACCCCGTGCATTACCCGTATTCACATTTTGGCATATTACAGGTCACGTACTATATATATCCTGTACATTTTTCTGTATTCATTTATATAATTATAAAACTTGATAAATAGTCTTAATTTTGTGCACCCCGTGCGTCGCACGGGATCTGTACTAGTTAAGAGAAATGGGAGGACGAGAAAAAAAAAAGGTGTGCAGAAAAACTCGGAGGGGGAAGTTTTAATTGCAGATGACTAATAATAATAATAATAATGAATCTTACAAATATTGCACAATGTCTCATCGATAGTTCAACGAAATAGAATTAAAGAAAACCTGTGCGAGTCCGTAGGACCAAATCCGAAAAGAGGATTTTATGTTACGTATTTTACTTCTCTACAATGATTTAATTTATTTTCTGTAAGAACAATATATAGACGTAAAAATAATAACTATTTTGACTCGTAATACTTTGCATTGTAAAAAACAAAACCAGTAACTTTTGCACATTTGCCTTGAAATGAAAAATGCTCACATTACCTGTTATCCAAGTATCCGACCGAAAAATGTAACTACACACCAGGACAGAACAGAGTAAATTCTTGCAGGGTTCCAATCGAAAAGCCAAAAACTAGAACAAAAAGGGAAACTGACAAACTGAAACAAAATTAATGTCTATCATGAAAATGGGTAAAACTTGCGCATATTAGAAGTTCTCTCATTGGAATTTATCGCTAATAATAGACAATATGGCAAAACATGTCTTTTCAAGTCATCCGCTGTGCAGCCTCCTTTGCAAGAAGCCTCTCCTTAGCCTTTGTTTTGGCCTGAGACTTGGATCCCATGACACCACCGCCCCATTTCTTGCGCAACTCATCGTACTTATCATTGAAATTGGCCTGAAATAAATGCAAAACAAGTTAAGGTACGTTGCCCCATCAGATCATAAATTACATTCTAATCTTATTATTAACATATCCTTAGACACAAGGATTTAACATTTTACCTTGATGGCCTCCAGAATCTTGCTGAACTCCAACTTGTCTTCATTCTTAACCGAGGTCAAGCATAAAACAGAGGCAGTCTTCTTGTGGACAATCTGCAGAACAGCATTATTTCAGCATTACAAGCATAACTGAACAGATAAAAGGAATAATATTAATTGGGTGTTTAGGATTTCTAAAACCATATGGACTTTAATGCTATTTTGTTCTTCATCCAAACAAGAAAAACTTGTAAACCCAAGGACAGAATAGTAGCTTACAGTGCCCAGCCTAGCTTTCCCCTTCACAATACAGTACGGGATCTCCATCTTCCGGCACAAAGCTGGAAGCCAGACAACCAACTCAATTGGATCAACATCATGGGCAATAACCACCAACTGAGCTTTGTTCTGCAAAAGAAAACAATTGTCAAAACTTAAAGCAACAGAGCCTAAAATTTACAAGAGAGGAACGGAGACTCAACCTGCTCGATGAGATAAGTGACGTGGTTAAGGCCATACTTAACCACAATGGGCTTCTTCAGTTCTGGAGTTTTTCCTTCAGCCTCAGCTTGAGCTCTTTTCAAAAGACGTTCTTTCTTCTGAGCCTTGTCTTCAGGCCTATATTTGAGAAGCATCTTAAAAAGGCTAGTTGCTGCATGTTTCGTAAGTGGATATCTAGAATTAGTACATTATAAATCATATTCTGCCATAAATCTTCAAATAAATATAGTTCAAACATGACAACATGGATTTTGAAAGACCTTCCTCACACCAAGGTCTATTGTTGAAGTAAACTTAATTAAACTACACACATTGCAATGCTTTGATTAGTTTCTCTTATCAACCCAAAAGCAACTCAAATTTGAATGCAAGGGTTTCCAACAAAAGAAAGAGAATATTAACACAGAGAATAACACTGTTATCAATACCCCTGCTCACTCACTCTACTGGGAATTGCTTATTACCCAATGTTTAACAGAAATCAATAACCACTCATCTTTCAGAATTCAGAACCATCAATGTGATCATACCTATACGAATTAAACATAAATGACAAGTACCATATGTGCTTTGATCAAATGATTACACATTCTAGCAGCAAATATATAAAACAATTCTCAGCAAGGAGAGGCATTAACATATACCTAAAACTAAAAATCAAACATAGTTTACAGTAGCAAAATGCATATGCAGAACATCGAGCTGCAGGCCATTAGATTATTCAACGACAATACACTCAATCCAAAGCTCCATTACTGGCAAACACAAAATCGGAAAGATCGAAGGACAGGTAAACATGTACGAACCCAAATTCTTGTCGAGGGTCTTAGAGAACTGATGAATTGACGGGGGGACCTTCAAACGCTGCTTCAGGATCATCTTCTTTCTCTGGATCCTCACAACTTGCGGCCATTTCACGAACCTGTGAAGATCCTTCTTCGGCGGCAGCGCACCTCCGATACCGAACTGCTTCGGCCTCTTCTCGAACAGAGGATTCACAACCTTCTCCGCCTTCTTCTTGGCGGCCGCCGGAGCCCTAACGCCCTTTTTCGGAGCCTGTAAAATGGTGTCGCATAAAGAGTAAAAGAATCAGGCAAAGCACAGAATAAGCTGATCGCCATGTGTAGAAGAAACTGAGACAAGCATTACCATTTCCTTTCAGCTGTGAGCGATGGGGGTGTGTGAGTCTGAGAAAGGCTTGCGAAACCCTAAAAAATATGCCTCAGGTGGGATGGAGGGTGCAGACTAGGGTTTTATGCTGGGCTGAGAGCCCGAAATCCTTTTGGATCAGGTAAAGACAGCATTTTGTTAAATGGGCTGACTTACACTTTCAAGTGAAGGATGGAAAGAAGTTCTTGGGCCGAATCCTCACTATTCGAAGCCCCAAATTGGACCACATGTCTCAAGAGTCAAATGAGTCGAGTCGAGTGGAGTCCAGTAATCCTCTTATCGATACAATCTCGAATTGTTACCTGCTGCTAGAGCTTGACGAGCCAAGCTTGCTAGTGCTCGACTTGATAATGTTACACAAATATTTGAGATCCGATCCAATTTCATTGGCTCTAGATTGATTTGAATATAAGGAGAAGTTTGCTCGATATTGGTTCAGAATTTAGCTTGAGTTATGGATATCTAATTGATTACACACATATTTTTTGAGTGTCTCGGCGAGCAATCAATTTCATCTTATGTCACAATACAAGTTGGAGCTTGATTCAGGTACATGTCTGAGGTGTTCGAGCTCGATCAAACTTGAACTCGAGTCAAGCTTTGGAACATTCTCGTAAAATCAAACTTGGAGAAGCAAATGACAAGTTGCATAAAAAAAATTCATAGAATCAAGAATAAAATTATCATTCTATTCATGTATGATCATGAATTATTAGTAACTGCATCCTATTCCTAAAAAAATCCTTTTCCATTTTTGGTGTGGAGCTCGAGTCAGAGTTTTATCAAACATGATAAATATAAGTGACATGTTGGCCTACAAAAAAGCAACATGTCCAACAACTAAGTGTAGCAGAGATGCCTATGTTGCGTTGGTTCTGTGGGCACACAAGAAGAGATAGAATCCAGAATGAGGATATTCGAGATAGGGTCGGGGTGGCTCCAATTGAGGAGAAATTGGTTCAACATCAGCTGAGGTGGTTCGGACATGTCCAACGGAGGCCTCCTGATGCACCGGTGCGTAGGGGAGTTCTATAGCGGGTCGCTGATGTAAAGAGAGGTAGAGGTCGGCCTACACTCACTTGAGAAGAGTCGGTTAAGAGAGACCTTAAAGATTGGAATATCTCCAAGGATTTAGCGGTGGATAGGAGCACTTGGAGGCTAGCAATCAACGTGCCAAAACCGTGACTTTTGCTCCTTTCTCTTTTGCTCCAATCTCTTCCTTTTGTTTTGAGCCTTTTTTGTGTTTCTCTTACCATTGGTTCTCTTGGGTTTCATCTCTAGCCTACCCCAACTTGCTTGGGACTAAAAGGCTTTGTTGTTGTTGTTGTTGTTGATAAATATAAGTGACATAAGATGTATTCATTAAATAATTGATTTTGTAATACTAAGCACACACAAATGTCTAAATATTGCGAAAAGAATATATCATAGACAAAATATTCAGCATGATCTTTGAACATACAGCAAAAATCTTCTAAACGTACACATAACTGCCCAGCAACACTAAATATAGATTCCAAAAAGATTATCTCTTCATAAAAAGTTGACATCAATACAAATTATACAATTTCCCAATAGATATTATTATAGCATTGCAACAAATAAATTGCAACATAGGGCTTGAACTATTAACATTTTTCTTTTTCTTTTTCTTTTTTTTCATTTTCCACACAACTCGGTGTCTCTCTTGGATGGCCTATAACTCAATGCATTGAGGCTGTATATGCAGAAATTGGCTTGTGTGGATTTTACCGAAACCTCTTCCGATGTTGTCCAAAAACCAGGCACATCGCACGAAGAAGACGAGCTCGATATCAGGGTAGCTCTGCATGAGTTTCCAAAATATTTGTCTCTAGCACATTGAACCCCATCAACAGAGGGCACTTCCAACTTGTAAATCCCATGTTTGTTTGTAGTTCTGTTGACTGAAAATGATATTTGCTCAGTAGTTCTTGGTGAAATTGCTTTGAACATGCAATCTATTCTCACCTCAACACCTGTTCCAAATGATCGGAAATTACAAAAATTACCCTAATGTATACAGCCTAATCTCAAAAAGAATAAAGATCCAATTTTTTTGAATTACAATGCTCTATTATACCCTCTTAAAGGCTGAATTAACTAAACCATACATATTTATCTTGGAATTACAGCTTTGTCTTTTTGTAATTTTAGTTAAACGTGCAATCTCAGGAAATATAGAAGAAAAGATAATGGAAAAGTCTGTACCCGGCAAGTAGTAGCTGTGCTTGGAGAAGGAGTTATTGGAGCAGATATCACAATAGACCAAGCCCATAACTGTAATTTGAGGATTTGAGAGAGAGGTTTTTGCTGCTTCAACTTGGCAAAAAAATGACATAGTGAACAAGAAAGAGAATACAAAGAGAAAACTTGAACCCATTGCAGCAAGCATTTCAATAGCCAAGATTTTTTTCTTTATAGCTTATTGAGTAGCCTATGAGATGGCTACAGTTTGATGTAGTTCATCATTTTCTCATGTGTGTGTGAGTGTTTGTCACTGTGTTTCTGTGGATGATGTAATGAATACCAGTTGTGCTGGTATTCAACTTCTATTTTTCACTATGCATATAAAACAAAAACATGTGAATTTCATTTGGAGTTATTGTGTGGCAGGTGTGTAGAAAAGAGAGGATGAGTGCATAATTTCAGTTGATGGGTCTTTTTTAACTATATTAATAAAAAGAACAGAAAAAAATCTTTATAGGATTAATCAATATAGGTACTGTTAGAAATAAGCATAGAAAATATTGTTTTCTTTCACATGGTTAAATTCAACATAAACTGCTGAATTTGAATCTATAAAATTTGATGTAGAATTAGTATTTGTAAAGTAAAATTGAACTTCACCACAAGAGCTAGCTAATGTAAAAACCTTCTGAGGGTCAGAGCGCACAGAACGTATTCTCCTTGTATATAAAAAATTAGCAAGCACCAAATTAATGCAAATGTGAATACAACAAGAGAACATATAGCTGTTACAAATAAATGTCATCAAGCATACACAAAATAATGAATATTACAAATTACGGTCCTTTAGTGACTTCGCATATTACAAATGAATACTGAATCAGAACTTATAACTCTCACAATATGGAACACGAACATATATTCTTCTTCGGTATCTCGTCGACCTTCTTTTCTGTGGGTACAATGGGAAACTTTTAGCTGCAATTAGATGAGAATGAAATGAAGAATACAAGACTTACAGATATCATATAAAGATAATTACATGGAGTCATGCTTGTAACGAAAAAGATAATTATAATAATAACGATGATCATGCTAAAGGCAAATTTGGCTGGAGTGTGGATTTAATCTGGTAAACATGAAGGGACATAAAACCTATAAAACTGGAAATTGTGGAGATAAATATGGCATATCCCATATTTGGAAGTAGTAATATAGTAGCATGACAACTGACAAACAACTTAGCATATCCATTCATAGCTTAAGCTAACATATATGAATTGCACTCTTATACCATTTCCTCATTATGAAAATTTGAAAAAGTTGCACCAAGTAAAACTCCCGTAAAAACACAAGGAGACATGGAGTTGGCATAGGGGCAGGGGAAGAAAATGATAGACAAAGAAAGTAAGCCATGGAGTGAGATTAGTGCCTCCAGACCAAAATAACAGTGCATTACATACTTATATTATTAATATATAATAAACAAATTACTAAGTTAAAATAACGCGAGAATAGTGTTTTCAGCAGAAAAAAAATCCTACAACAAGGTTGTGCCAACTCTATGATTAGCTAAAATTCATCTGTAGCTGTGTATAATCATACCTTTCCCTATAAAAACTTACACCTCAACAACTCTTTCTCACTTCTACTCACCATAACACTTCTTAAAAACACTCGAGTAACCTCAAGATAGTATTATATTCAAGGTTCATTTACTAAGTTTCGAATAATGATAATCACCACACTTCTCTGATGGTATCAATATCAGAAACAAATAGCCAGAGCTACAATAAAAATAAACATTCACATGTGAACAAAAAATCCAGAAATCATCTGCAATAGAAGCATGCAACTAGAAGCTGGAACTCCAGAGAACAAAGGTCCATTTTCAAAGGCTTAAGTAATCAACACACTAAATAGGTAACAATTGTAGTATAAAATCAGATAAGTCAAAGAGTTAACCTGTTTTCACTCTTGCCAAAGATGGCTGTACAACAGCATGCATTGTAATAATCACGTTAGGTAGATCCCCAAATGGCATCTTGCACTGGCCAACAGTCCTGCTATTATCTAAAACTTTCCCAGCACTTATTAATTTCACGTCATTTGCTACCTTCGGCGCTATTCTCTTGTCTGATAATATAGACAAATTGCATTCAATTACACATAGAAATGCATGCTAAATTGCTAAAAGAACTCGTTTAGCATGACTTTTAACACATATAAGACGATTTGAATACACATTTGTAGAGTAATATAAGTATGCTCGGAGCTGAAATTCTTATGCGACATACACAAGATTTTCATATGATGAAAATCCTGAATTCGACTAGAAACAAACTGCCACACATATATTCTTATTTTCCAAATAACGCTTCTCAGAAATTCATCCGACCGACTTAATGCTCAGACAAATCAAGCTTAAGCTTCCACTCTTCAAGTTCAATACGTAAATGTGCAGAATGGATGCCAAATTGACACATACAAGGTTAATCAAACAACTAATAACAGCCATCTAATCAATCATACTCAAACCCACACACACGCACATCCAAATTACTTTCTAGCTCGAGATTCAGAAAAAATGGAACATAAAAATCACAAGTGGTAAACAAACCTTTAGGCCACTCGGTCACAATCCTCTCTTTAAGCATCGCAACAGTCGCCGCCGGCGAATACCGAAAAGGGCCGATGTCCGATCCATCGTACAATCTGAACTTCAGCTCCACTAAATCCTCCTCCGGCATCTGATTTTCTACCCAAATTTTCCAAAATAGAGAAAAATCGGATAAATCCCCAAATTCAAGGCTCACCCACAGCAAATACGTCCAAAACTCAACGAGTTTGTGATCATAACATGGAGAATGAAATCTTATTGCTCAGTTATTATACTTTGAAAAATGAAAAAACAAAAAACAAAAAACAGAAAAACAAAGCAGATCTTGATGATTTACGGCCTTGTCCGCGCTTTGTGCAGCGCGATCCTGTTTTCCTTTTCTTTCTGTTTTCTTTTTTTTATTCAACTTTCTGTATTTTTTCTTTTTCCTTCACTTTCATTCTCTTATTTTTCCCGCTGTTTTGACTGTTTCGTTTAAACTTTTTATCATTTTCTAATTTATGGAGATAGCAAAATATAAATTATAGAGTTAGAAGTAGAATATTGTCAGTTGTCTACTGAGGAGGTTTTCTAACATAATTTGGGTCGATTTGATGAAAATAATTACTTTGAACACATTTTTTTTTTTTTCAATTCATTTTTGCTGCCACTTATACTTTTTACTTTTGGAATTCATTTTTGCTGTCCACTTCTATTACTTTTTACTTTTGGAATTATACCGTCGTCATTTAAGATTTTTTTTCCATAGTTTTTGTTCTGAAATTTGAATTATAAAGTTCCATCTTAGTTTTTTTCTTGTGTACAATATTGGAGTCATCACTCGAACTAAATCAATATCTTTAGCTGTTTTCTGCCCATATTTTTTATAGAGATGCATCCTATTAGATATAAACATTAAATTACGATAAAGTTATTTGCATGCATATTCTTTAATAAATAAACATATATTTTTTATTATGAGATCTTACTATATTTCCTAGTATATTTTCTTTGTTATATAAGTTGTACGCGTCCTATTATTTTGAAGGATGGCGGCTTGGGCTTTAGATATCCCAACTGATGATGGGCCTGAGTAAAGAGATATTTAATAAATAGAGGAAACTGGCCCACGCCTCATGTCATTCTGAACTAGTGTCCCCTTTTTTTCTGTAGTTGTATTTAACTCCCAGAAAACAACATGAATATATTAACAGCTACTGATAGATCTAGCATTTTATACCCGAAAATTTGTGAAATCAAACTAGACTGAGAAAATAATTGATTCGATCCAGTTAGTAAACACACACACACTCATTTGCACGGTGGTTATTTGATAGGTCGAAAAATATACGTATTTTATATGTTTAATAGTGTATTTTTTATACACTTAATTTATTGGCACGTTTATATTTTTCGACTTATTTATTATTTGGATGGATTCATATACATTGATATTTTTATATTTATTTTCAGCATATTGGAGTAATTTTATGGATGGCGAAGCATTGCACGAGAGTTCACGTGATAATGGGCCTCGATATCAGCTTATTTTCGGGCCCATCATGAAGTTTAGTCACGATTAAGAGAAAGAAATTGACAGGCCACGCAATTGGGCCAAAGCTTGAAGGACTTCAATTTTGTAAAACCTGACAAGCCACATTGATTTAGGAAAATCATGCAAGCAAGGAAAAGAATTTGAAAGGAATTATTTGCTAGCCAAACATTTTTATTTGAGGAGAAAAAAGAGATTCACTCACACACGGAACATATTGGTAGCAAAGATTTATTTACGTGGGAGGAAAAAAAGGAAAAGGAGCACGCACACATAGAGAAAAAAAAAGAGCCGCAAGCAGTAGCGAAAGAAAAGAGAAAGACGGACAGAAAAAGGGCCCGAAGGCTTCACACGAGCGGAGGGAAGCCGCACCCGCACACGAGAGGATAATTCTATTCTCTCTTTTATTTATTATTTTTTATTTTTATTAATATGTTAGACTAGTTTTTTATCCAGTTTTAGGGGATGTTTGAACCCTAATTCCAATTTGTCTATGAATTGGATGATTTATATTTATCGTTGATTAATCGAGACGCCGTATTTGTTTTTGTTGATGAGTTGATTCATGTTATCTGTGTATAATGTTTATGAATTATGGTGTTTGATTTAGTCTGGCCAACTACGTTAAATATTCATAGTTTAATTGCTAGATTCGAGGCTTTAATCCGTAATTGTTATTGTCTTGTTTCGTAGTAGTAAACTAGGGGTCGTGCATCACTAGGGTAGCATGAGCATAAGTTAAATGGTCCGAGCTTTTGCGTCCATTGCTTAGACTGATCTATTTTTCTAGGAATTAATGCTGCTAGTGTATTAAATCTAGAGAGCTTATTCTAGGTTGTCCGCTAGTTAGGTTTAGTCGAAGAGCTTATTTTGATTAAATATTCTGTAAGGGAAAATTCGGTTAACAGAGCTTGTTGTTAGCTAGGGTCGGTAATTCATTAGCAATTTAAAGAAAGCGTCAAAATTAATTAACGGTAGATTTAGATTGGGTGATAACTGAACCGAAAACTGGACTTCTCTTATTTTATTAGATTTTTATTTTATTTTCTTATTTTTATTTTTATTTTTATAAAACCAATTCCCCCCACCTTTTATTGCTTTCCTAGTTTAATTCAGTTAATACGAGATTGTCACAATTTAATTCCTACTCCTCGTGGGATCGACCCCGCTACTACTAGTTAGTAGAGGTTTGTTAAGGAAAAATTATAAATTTAAATTTGCCGCGTCGCGACGCGCGGTCAAATTTTGGCGCCGTTGCCGGGGAGTGGCGCAATTGAGTTGTGATTTTTTTAGTATTAACTGAATTAGGTAATTAGATTAGTTTTTATTTTATTTTATTTTTTCTTTGACTCTTTTAATCCCCCTATTTTTCTTTTTCCTTTTGGTTTCTTTTACAGGTGGTACTTGTTATAAATGGATGCGTATTGGAGCCCGGAATGTACTTACGCTTACGATTCATATTATGATATGAAAAAGAGGGAAATAAGAGACCAACATCGTGAGGCTAGGATGTCGGCTATGATCCAAGAAGCCATTGAGAGTGTTCGTCAAGTTCTAAGGAAACCATGTCGTCTATGTCATACCACAAGACACGTCACCGATGATTGTCCACTTTTGATCGAGAGGTATGGTGCACGCAGAGCTATCGAGAGAGGTTGGCATCGACTAGACGATTGGGCGTATTCAAATTTCAATAGGGGCCATTACAGTTGGGGAGATTGTGGAAATTCATTCTATGAAAATCCACGATATTCTCGACCGTATGAGCCTACTTATGAGCATGACGAATCCCAATTCCACTATGGAGGCTTACAATATTTTTCAGAACCTTCGCTTGAACAAGAGACTAGTCCATCGTTGATGAAGTTACTTGAGGAATGTCAAAATTCTTTGATGTCTTGTAGCAAAACGATTGGTGACTTATTGAGCGAATTGGATGCCCGAGCCAAGAGTCGGCTAGCCGAAGCCAGCCACGATGATGTAGGAGAGCTTAGGATGAGTAGCGACATGGAGCTTGAGGTGCTGGACGAAGTTAGCTTTGAGCCGATAAACGATCGAAGCGACAAAGAGAATGAAAAAGAAGGCGATGAGGAGCAAATTTTCGCTGTTACCGGCCCCCCCGATAAAAACCTGGTAGCATTTACTACTGCTATCGGGGGCCCCGATAACAGCCCACTCGAAGGTGAAAATGACGTAAAAGCTCCATCAATTGCCCCGAGCATGACCGAAATTTCATCTCTTCTATTCGAGGTCAAACCACCAGCAACCGAGCATGCTGAAAATGAAGAGCCGTACATCTTGGAGGTGGTAGAGATTTTTCCTCTTATCCATAATCCCGGGCTAATCTTTTGCTATGACGTACTACCACCTAGACGAAAAGATCCGGTTAAGCACCCGACACCGGACGAGGGGATCTTTAAGAAGCATGGTGCTACAAGGTTTGTGCCTCCTTTGAGGCCACCTATGAAGCCGCCATGGACCGTTTGAAGAAAGCGGAGCAATAAGTCGAGCCAACGACACTAAAAAAGGCGCTTGTTGGGAGGCAACCCAATGCTGTGCGACGTGACTTCTTCTCTTGTATAAGGTGAACTCTTTCCTTTTACTTGGTATTTTGTTCTCTTATGTGCAAACTCTAAGTTTGGGGAGATTCATTAGAGTGAGATATTTGTGTGAGTTGTTGAGTTGTACTCTATATTATATATTATCTTGATTTGTTGGAGTATATGTTACTTGTATGTGGAATTTTGCGATGATGAATTGAGTGTCTTTTGGAATTATCATGCTAGTTATGATGACTCGGGTTAATGGTTTCTGGTTAAATTCTTGAAGTGTTGTCATTTAAGGGACAAAAACATGACGATTGATATTTATGTGTTTTATTTGTGGTGAGTAGGTCTCGAACTGTTTATATTTTTGAAATGTGCTGGTGACTATTCTGCTTGATGTCGATTGTGTGAGGTAACTTGACGTGGAAAGTTGGGAGTTGATTGTCTCGAAAAAAAAAGAAAAAGAAAGAAAAAAAAGAAAAAAAAAANGTAGTTGTATTTAACTCCCAGAAAACAACATGAATATATTAACAGCTACTGATAGATCTAGCATTTTATACCCGAAAATTTGTGAAATCAAACTAGACTGAGAAAATAATTGATTCGATCCAGTTAGTAAACACACACACACTCATTTGCACGGTGGTTATTTGATAGGTCGAAAAATATACGTATTTTATATGTTTAATAGTGTATTTTTTATACACTTAATTTATTGGCACGTTTATATTTTTCGACTTATTTATTATTTGGATGGATTCATATACATTGATATTTTTATATTTATTTTCAGCATATTGGAGTAATTTTATGGATGGCGAAGCATTGCACGAGAGTTCACGTGATAATGGGCCTCGATATCAGCTTATTTTCGGGCCCATCATGAAGTTTAGTCACGATTAAGAGAAAGAAATTGACAGGCCACGCAATTGGGCCAAAGCTTGAAGGACTTCAATTTTGTAAAACCTGACAAGCCACATTGATTTAGGAAAATCATGCAAGCAAGGAAAAGAATTTGAAAGGAATTATTTGCTAGCCAAACATTTTTATTTGAGGAGAAAAAAGAGATTCACTCACACACGGAACATATTGGTAGCAAAGATTTATTTACGTGGGAGGAAAAAAAGGAAAAGGAGCACGCACACATAGAGAAAAAAAAAGAGCCGCAAGCAGTAGCGAAAGAAAAGAGAAAGACGGACAGAAAAAGGGCCCGAAGGCTTCACACGAGCGGAGGGAAGCCGCACCCGCACACGAGAGGATAATTCTATTCTCTCTTTTATTTATTATTTTTTATTTTTATTAATATGTTAGACTAGTTTTTTATCCAGTTTTAGGGGATGTTTGAACCCTAATTCCAATTTGTCTATGAATTGGATGATTTATTTTTAT